CAAAGCTACACTTGACTACTGGGAATCTAGAGAGCCCAAAGGGCTCAAGCTGTGGTTCAGCTGAAGCTCACAGTCTCCACCTCCATCAGGAGACCCTGGAGTGATGCCTTGCCTCCAGAGGACCTTCCTCAATTGGGTCTACCTGGGGAGTTCTTCCTGTGTGTGCATTTAAAAGGGACAAGGCTGGTGGCTGGAGAGGGCTTGCTTGCAGATGGATGAAGACTGCTGAAAAATCTGCTTTGATGGGAGAATGCTCTAATGGAAAACACCCTGCCTTCCCCAATTCCAGGAAGCAAATTAGAAGCAGTCATTCTTCAGTTCCTCTAAATGCTGAGGTGGCCTGGAGGAGAGAGGCTGGGTGTAGTTCCGTACAGAGCTCTCAGGACATCTTTTTTTTTTTTTTTTTTTTTTCTGGAATCTTAAGTTTGAGGACCACTTGGAAGCTCTTAAGTGCCCAGAGGAGAGAGACAGAGGATTACAACGTGAACACAGAGGGTTGAAAAGCACAGGGTCGTCTTGCTGAGAAATATTTTAATTTTTCTTCCCCTCTCCATTCTTGGCTCTGCCAAGAATACTTTATAAAGAGGTCCAAGGATAAAGTATGATGTAATGAGAGGTCTCAGGAGCTAGGACCTGGTTGGGCTTGCTTCAGCAGACATTTCTGAAAGCACGCAGGAAGTCAGACTTGGGGTTAATACCGACAGATTCTATTTTCTGCTATATATATACTTCAGGTCGTTCAAAGCTTACAAACATGATGTTCAACATGGCAGACAGTGCAAGCCAGTCCTCTAGTCCAGGCCGTTAGAGGTCTGAGCCTCCACTAAAAAAACAGCTGCAGGAGTCAGGGAGGTGGAACCTAGGCTCCTGGTAGTTGAAATGGGAGACCATCAAGCCCCACCATGCTGGTGACTAATGCTCCAAGTGGAGGGCCAAGGAGCACAGTAAGGGAGAAGGATGCGGTTGCTGAGTGAGACCTGAAGAACAGGGGAAGAGGAGCGAGGGTGTTTGTTCTCCTGTCTCCATGCCTCCAGAGGGCCAGCCTTGGCGTGGCAGACCGACCACTTTGCTGGGGGAGAATAATTGGGCAGCATTGTCCAGTAGGAAAAGGACAGAAGCCATATATGCCATTCTAAGATTTATTTATTTATTACTTATACAGCATTCTGCTGCATGCGTGCCTGCAGGCCAGAAGAGGGCAACAGATCTCATTACAGGTGATTATGAGCCACCATATAGTTGCTGGGAATTGAACTCAGGACCTCTGGAAGAGCAGCCAGTGCTCTTAACCTCTGAGCCATCACTCCAGCCCCATACATGTCATTTTAAATTATCCCATGGTCATATTAAGGAATAATAAGAAGCAGGTGAAGTTAATTTCAGTATTATTTAGATCAATGTTGTCATCTCATTTGAACATGTCATCTTAAAAAAAATCATTAGTGTGACATTTTACAGTCTTTTAAAAATATTTTTTAATTCTGTTTTTATTTGATTTGATTTGATTTGTTTTTATCTATTTCATGTATGTCTTTGTACCACGTGTGTGTCTGGTACCAACGGAGGCCAGAAGAGAAAGATGGATACACTGGAACTGGGGTACAGAACGTGTGAACCACCATGTGTGTGCTGGGAATTGAACCTGAGTCCTCTGGAAGGACAGTCAGTGCTCTTAATTGCCGAGCCATCTCTCCAGGCCAGTAGGGACAGGTGCTTCCCTGAAACTTGATGGCCTCACAGCCTAGCTGGAAGGTCAATTTCAGGGTCAATGTGAATACACATGTGAACACATCACACACCTATACACACATACCACACAAATACATATAAAAAGTGATCAGCTTGCTGCTTACTAATTGATTGCCTTATGTGGACCTCAGATTGCACTGCACTTTTTGTCTTTTTTTTTTTTTTCTTTTTGAGATAGGGTCTCCCTGTGTATTTAGACCTGGTTAGTCTGTAGTGACTGTGTAGATAGAGCAGGCTGGCCTGGAGCTTGTCTGCAATCCTTCTTCACATGCTTCCTGACCAGCCCCGCATCTCTGCTTCTATTTTTGACAATATCTTAGGCTGTCCTGGACCTCGCTCTGTAGCTTTGAAAGCTTTGAACTTCTGACCTTGGGCCTCGGTCTCCCAAGTGCAGGGCTGACAGGTATATGCCATCAGAGTTAGCTATACACTGTACTTTTAATTTTTGTTTTTCTTTTTTTCTAATTTTAAGTTCAGATGAAAATTTATTGTGCTGAGGAGATGACTCGGTGTGTAAAGCACTTGTTATGAATGTGTGAAGGTGTGAGTTCAAATCCCCAGAAGCCATATAAATCCAGGAGACAGGAGTGCAGGTCTGTAATTCCAGTGCTCCTATAGTAAGATGGGAAGTGGAGACACAAGACTCCTTGGAAATTCATAGCACAGCTAGAAGCCCCAAATCAGGTGGAAGGCGAGGCCCAACGCGTGAAGTTGTTCTGTGTTCTCTGCATGCACGCTGTTGCATAGTTATGCCCACACTCAGGCACGTGAACATGAAGAAAAAAAGGAAGAAAGAAAACTTTTCACTTTTCTGGGGGACCTAGCACCCTGCAGGCCTTATATTTCTCCTCAGAGTCCTAAAAGTTCTATACTGGCGTCTCCATTTTGCAGAAGACAAAGGAGAGCCCAAAAGAGTAGAAAATCATTTCCCCATGTCAAGCCTATCTGGGAAACCAGGCCTGCTTATGCCAGGCCCAGAACTCATGGTCCTCTATCCCAACACCTCTGCTAGCAGGAGAGTCTCTGACAGGTTAGTGATGCCAACATGACTGGGTACATGCAGAGAAATAAGCCAGTTACAGAAAAGGACAAACCCAGGGGAGAGTCACTGGCATTAGAAAGGGTCTGGCAGAGAATTGCTTTCAAAACTGGACCTATAATAGAAGGACATTCACTGAGCAATTTGATTTGTACAGGGTTCCTCTCATGTAGACAAATGCCATTTGCAGGGCTCTGACTGGCAGGAAAAGGTTGCGGAAGTGTGAGTATCACTCTGCTACCCTTTAGTGAACACCAGGGCGTAAGAAGCAGGAGTACAAGATTATGGGGAATTATGGGGAAAAGTGCCCAGTCCGCAGGGCCAGGACTAGACAGGAAAGAATGCAGAGACCAAAGTGACTTCCTGGGCTGGTGAGCAAATACTCAAAGTATGAGGACCGGTGTTTGATCCCCAGAACCCACATTAAAAATAGAGAGAGACTTGCATGGTGAAATGTGCTTCCAATTCTGTCCTTGGAGAAGCAGAGACAGGCAATTGTCTGGGACTCCCTGGCAAGCCAGCCTACCCTACTTGGTGAGCTCCTGGTCTATGAAAGACCCTGACTGGGGATGGAAACTCCAAGGAATAGCACCCGAGATTGCCCTCTGACCTCTACATCACTCAAGTGCATGTGTCCTCACAAGCACACAGACACAGACACATACACAGAGAGAGAGAGAGACAGACACACACACACACACACAGAAAGAGAGACTGACAGACAGATACACACACACACACACAGATTTCTTGGGGAATCTTGCTGATTACGTCATGGAGACAGAGTAGCTTCAGAGACGACTTTGAGCTTGTGTAAAGAATTCCAACTCACCCGTACAGTGAGACACTACTGGAACAAAGGTGATGCCCCTGCTAGGACCTGGGAAGCCATCACCCATTTGACTGTGGTCTGCTAGTTGAATTAGAAGGAAGGGCAGAGGCGATGTCTAGAGAGATGTGTGGAGGAGCTGAGTTTTGGTGGCAGAAGGCTGAGTAATGCATGTAGCAACCAGATAACAAATAACCCCGTGCAGATGGGAGAGCAGAAGTGAAACATGGAGAAGAGGCGTTTTTAATAATGCTGAATGCCATCGTCATTATTAATGCTGCCGGTCTAGTGTAGACCGTGTCTGGCAGATGCTCATTTACGGGAATGAAACATTGCAAACCAAACGGTTTTCTGGTCACAGCAGAGGAGAACCACACTGAGATGTACGAGGCTTTCTTGTGTTACAGCAGGGACCAGGCTGGGGGGCCACTCCGAGCCACTGCCATAGTTTGGTTGAATGTTGAGGTCCCTGGGGTGGGTCAGAGAGCAGTGGGAATAGAGAATATGAACCATATATAGATACAAACGAGGCTTGGGTGCTGGGGATTGGCTCTGCCGGAAGAGCGCTTGCCCAGCACGCGCAAAACCCTGGGTTTGATCCCCAGCGCGGAGTAAATCTGAGGTGATGGAACTCGGCTGCAGTCCTAGCACTCAGTAGGCAGAGGCAGGAGGAACAGGGGTCAAAGGTCATCCTCAGCTACACAGTGAGTCTGAGGCTAGACAGGGCTGCAGGAGGCCCTGTCTAACCAAAGCAAAAGACAAGGCTTAGAGACAATTAGTTTGAGGAAGGAGGGGGAGTGAAGAGAAATATCAAGAGCTTGATGCAATTTTCTATCATTTACTATATGTTTCTGAGCACAATCTGCCCCTCCCCCATTTTAATTTTTTTTTTTTTAAGAAATGTTCACAGTTGATGAGAGAATGGACCAACTGATGTTAACTTTGTGAACCCAAGTATCGGATTCAGACTTAAAGGGTTAAGTACCTTTGCCATATGTACAGCCCTGAGCCTGTCCTTAAAGTGACTGAGTCAGTTCCGTCTTTGGAGAGAGAGAGAGAGAGAGAGAGAGAGAGAGAGAGAGAATGCGTTGTCATGGAAACGAAAGCGCACAAGTTCAGGGCCTGAGGGCTTGTCACCAAATAGGTGCTCAGCAAACCACAGGGCTCTTTTCTTAACCCGTGAGCCACCAGTCAGAGCCCGGCATATGACACGCTCTTTAAAAAAAAATGTTTGAATTCTGAGTATATAATGTCCCAGGCAGAGGTTGAGAGCTGCCCATCCCTCACCAGGCGAACTCTCTGCTACCTCATCTCTCATGCCTACAGCATCCAAGGCTCCTCCAGGTCCGCCCCACTCTCTGCCCTGAAGGGCATGACACTCACCCTCTGTGCCCCGCGCCACTTCCAGGGGCATCCGACGGCGCTGCTGCTCGGATGGTGCAAGGTCCTGCCTGCAGCAGCGGGAGATGCGGGCCCCAGGCATAGTTTTCCCATCCCGTCATGGGCTCATGGGCGGGAGCGCCTTCCTTCCCAGTCACGTGCGCTGGCCAGCAGCTGGCGCTCTCTTTCCCTTCGGATTTCAGGACGACTTCCAGCGGAGGGGGCAACTCGGGTGTGTCTGTGTCCGGAAGCGTTTAGAAGCGTGTAGAAGTTGTCAGAGCATTTGAAGGTTTGGTCGTTGTTATTGGTGTGTTTGCCAGCGTCTGCAGAGCCATCCGCGCGTACGTGTGGGCATGTGGAGCTGAGGCTGTCCCGAGAGAAAGTCTCCCTGCACGCTGAATGTGCGTGTACTAGTGAGTGATCACGAGTCATACATACACGTTTAGGTGTGTGTGTGTGTGTGTGTGTGTAGGTCATACACCTAAACATGCATCCACACCCCAGCATGCGCATGTGCAGGTACGTACGTGGTGAAGGCTGAGCTGAATGTCTAACTGGAGTTCTGGTGTATCTGGTAGTGGCTAGGTATCTGTGCGAGGTGGCACTGATGGGTGCTCAGTGACTCCCTGTGTACTCACACATGAACGCACACGTTTGTGTGGATTTTCTCTGGGCGTCAGTGTCCACATACTCGGGAACAGGTGGCGGTGTCCCAGTCCTCATTTCTCTCCTCTGCAGACACTATAGCTCTCTCCCCATCCCCACTGACTGACTCTCAGGCCTTCCTTAAATCATGCAGAGAGCGATGGGGCCTGCTGGAGGATCTCGGCGCCCCCGACACAGGCAGAGAGCTCCCGGTTAGACAACAAGCAGAGACCACAAGAAAGCCCTGGGGGCCTGTTATGAGCGTCTCTCCGTTCCTTCCTCTGCTCCCTTATTCTAGCTCCTCGTAGTCCACTGGGCAGCAGAAGCATCTGGCTAACAGCTGCCATAAGAGGCAAACTTTACAGTCAGAATTTTAATGCAGAAATCCCTTCAAAGTCTTTTGCCGATTCCACCCCCCTAGACAAGGCAGTGAAATGTGCAGACAGCATTTTACTTTCTGAGATGTGGGAAGAATAATAATGGCCTTACCTGCACCTGCCTTTCTTCCCTTAGCCATGACACTCACCCATAATGCATTTAGGAAGCAATCAAGCTACATGGAGACTCTGTATTGATACCACATAAATTTATAATTTGTAATAATAATAAATGTTATGCCAATACTACAATATGTATAATAGCATTATATGCTATATGATACAAAATAAGTAATGATATGAAGATATGTTTATTCAACAGATTAAAATATTAAATTGTATTTGTTTATTCATGTGTGTATGCACGTGTGGAGGTCAGTGGGTCTCGGGCTAGCCACGCCTAGATGGTAGGCACGAGGCCAAGTGAACCAATTCACTCTCCCATGTGATTTCCATGAAAGGATACCAGTTTTCTTCTGAAGTATTAACTTCAGAGACATAGTCCTAGTGTGCCTTGAGCCATGGCTTCCTGCCACTTGGAAAGAATCTGCTTATGACAAGAGGCAGTGACATCCCCACATAAGAAGAACTGGGAGAGGTACAGAGCGCTGTGGCTACTTTATTCTGATACTTGCTGTAGTTGTGATAAAAGTCCTATTCTCTTATTCTTCCTCTCTCTTTAAACTAGCTTCAATGAGTTTCTGTCAGTTACTACAGAAGACCCACTTCTGTGGCCTCCCAAGCTTAGCTCAAACCTTTCTTTTTATGTGAGTGGAATGGTGTGAATAAAATATTTCTTTGAATTATTAACTGATGATCTGCTGGAGCCCCACGACATTTCTGAGCCTCTCTTCTGAACTCTGTCGATGCTGTGTTGGTAGTTTGACAGCTTGCGGGGGTAGCAATCAACGAGCTCCCAGCCTGCTTACCTGAAACATCACTGTCTAAAGCTCTTTTCAGCTGTTCCATCCACTGCCTAGAGGCATATCCTCATCTGTGTACCTCTTGCTTACACTGGGTAGGCAAGCACGCCCCGGTCTAGACTGCATCTGAGTCTTTAGACTCACTAAGGAGGAAAGGTCTTACAAAAGAGTTTAGGCCAAGGTCCCCATTTCATGCACAATGCCAGGAGGCTCAGAGACCATCAATGGCTTGATAGTTGTGGATCCGAAATGAAATCTAAGGTCTTTTGACTTACACCCACAGCTAAAATATGGATTGTTCTCTTTGCCCTTTTCAACCCTTCTCTTACTCCACTCTTGGCACAAACGTGTCTACAAACCATTACTGAATCATTCCAAAAGCTAGTGGCCAAGACCCAAGAACTCAGATGTTTATTTTCAATACAGGGCTTAGTGTTGGTGAAGTTCTTCAGAATGAGGTCACTCTAGATGGGGTGTCAGTCATGAAGCAAGGCTGGGGAGACAGCTGTTGGCAAGGTGGGCATGCTGCCATTCTATGGACTGCTGAGTTGGTGGGCATGAGGAATTATACTCAGTGCTGTAATGTCATTTGATGGAAAAGATCAATTTAAAAGGTCATGAGGTTGATGCACACACTAGCAACTATGTCACTTAGGATTCAACAAGACGTCACTCAGCCCAAAAGAAAGTATGTAGATTTATACTACGTATAAACTTTGTTTTGATGTTGTTTTGGACATAGCAGTTCTGTTTCCAGGAATTTGCTTTGGAAGTATGCCCGATGTATTTCAACCCGTTCGAACTAAGAAAGAACTTTAAGCAATTAGGGAGCAGGTTAAACAAATCATTATGCACTTGTACACAAACAACAGATCACAAAAGCAAAACCCAGAGGGGAACATGAACTATCTCATCCGAGTGTGGTGGAGAACACCTTCCTTTCAGCACTCAGGAGGTTAAAACAGAAGGTTGTAAGTTTGAGCCCAGCCCTGGCTACCAAGTAAATGCTATTAAAACAACAACAACAACAAACTCATGAAGTGAAATGTATTCCCTAGAGAGAAGAACTGGAAAACTGGAGAGAGGCACATTAATTTTCCACTGTGTGTCTTGGAATGATGTGCTTTTGAAAGCCACAGGAGAGTTTTACTAATTCAGTATCTTGCTTTCTGAGAAAGAAAAAAAAAAGTACTATGTGGCAGTTCTTACAGGGTCTTCCTTTGTTATTATGGATGGGCTGGACCTTCAAGTATGGTACAGACTTCAGGAAATTAACAATGAACTCCCTACCATGACACACTTTGTTTAGGGAAATAGTGAAAATGGAAGTTGGTTCTTCCATTGCACAGAAGGAAGGTGTGGGCACAGTGATGGGTCTTTCCCCACAGTTACATTAGTGGGGGGTGGGGGCTGAGGTGACCTAACCATTGGCCCCAGCACAAATTCCTCTAGTAGAGCATAAATAAAGTAGTTTCCATGGGAAGGGAAAGAAGAAACAGAGGGAGTCTCCACCAGCAGAATGGTTTCAGGAAAGCTGAAGTCCTGAAAGGGCTGGAGCTCCAACAGAAATTAGACCAAAATAGACACCATGTCTGTTCAACAGGAAGTGGCCAGAAAAGCTCCAACCAGATTCCAGATGTAATTTGCAGAGCCTTGGCTGGAGAAATTTTATTTTTAGAATCAGATGAGAAAAGAAAGATAGAGAGAGGAAAAGAAAAGAAAAAAGAAAAGACGAAACTCTTAAGAAGGCATTTCAAATGCATGGCTCAGAAACAAACAAGCTGTGCATAGTGCATGAAATCCCAGCATCTTTGACGCTGAAGTAGGAGGACTGCTGAGCGTTTGGGGTAAGCCTGAGCTACATAGGGGTTGAGAGAGAGTGAGGACTAACCAGGAACCCAAACAGACACATTATTTGAAGGAGTGCCTCAAATAGTTTTATAGAATCAGGCTTTGAAGAGCAGGTATAGACAGGACTTGCCACATTTTTGCCAGTGTAGTCACAGGAGAGAAAAGGAAAAGTAAATTCTCTATCTCTTCCCTTTGGTTGGGAAGAAAAGGCAGAGACCCCAGATTAGGAGAGAGATGTGACTGAACTGAATATATTCGAACTGAGCTAGTGGCTGGGCACGGAGTCTGATTCTGGGGGAGCTCTATGCACTTAGGTAACACTCTGAAGAGAGTTCTGTTTGTAAGTCAGGTCTACTCAACGCATGCTACAGGGACAGAGAAGTTGAACTTGGGGCCTGCAAAGTGGTTGCAAAGTGACATGCATGTGGGTTACAGAGTAAAAGTAAAACATTTTCAGGAAAAGAACATAGAGGTCAAAAGAAAAACTAATGATAAAAAAGGCAGGGTCTTGCTGTATAGCCCACAATGACCTTGACCCTGAGCATTTTGTCATCCCACTGAACACCATGCTGGTCTATTTCATTAGTGACATTATGCAGATCGGACCAAATAAGGTGGTAAAGCACACTCCATGTTCTTGTAAATTGTATGTGAATCAGAGAACCAACCTTTTTGAAGTATCTGATGTTCCCATACTTTGGACCATATTGCAACAGCCATCTCATGGCAAAAAGCAAGTTATTATTTCTTATTACCTACTATGGTGGTGAAGCACAATGTTCAATAGTGTTTGGGCCCTTTGGAGTGGTATCTTTCCAACCCATTTACTAAATACTCCGTTATCAGAGAGCAGAGCATGAAAGGCTTGCTAGTGCTAGCTGCTCTGCCACCTGGAGCTTCAGAACAAGCAGATCCAATGACACTTGAATGAACAAATAGAGATTCTGTATGGTGCCTGTGGCAAATGCCAATAGAAGAATTTAAATCTCCAAGCTTTCGAGAAAACCCACACTCTGAGAATAGCTCATGGTCTGCTGCCAAGTCTTGTAAAGACCAAGCCCTTTAAAATGGCACTGTTTGAGTCTAGAGGTCATAAAGTGGATTAGTGGACATGAAACAGAGGAGGCAGGGATGAAGATGTGGACATCACAAAATTTACCTGGGTCATAAAATAAATGGTTCAACTTTTTTTGACACCCACTTCTGCAACAAAGCAGCTCTTACTTCTCTGTCGCCCTTCCCTCTCTTCCCTTTCTCTGTCTCCCATCCCCTTCTCCTCCTCCTTCCCTTCCTCTCCCACTGCCTTGCCCCTCCCCTCCTCTCCCCTCCCTTTCTCCTCTCTCCTCCTCTTCTTTCCTCCTTTTCTTCTCTCTCCTCCTTTTCTCCCCTTCCTTTCCTCATTCTCACTCTTCCCTTCCCCCTTTCTCCTTTCCTCTTCCTTATTCCTCTCTCCTTCCCTCTCTCTCTTCCTTCCTCCTCCCCTTCTCTTCTTCCTCCTCTCTCACCTCCTGTCCCCTCTCCTTCCCTTCTTTCCTTTCTCCCTCCCTCCTCTTTCTCCTCCCCTCCCCTTTCCCT